GTAGGGCTGTGTCTGGGCTATCCCAGCTGCCCCTCTGTGCGGGCTGGCTGCCTCCCAGCCGTGTTCCCTCTGGCTTATCTGGAGCTGACAGATCCATGCCCCCCTGTCCATTTCCAGTTCCCAAAGCACAGCCCTCAAACCCCTGGGTTAGATCCTGCTGTTCCCTGGCAGCTCCCAAGCACAGCCAGGGACACCAGGTGCCAGGGGGTGGCTGTGTGTGTGTCCTGGGGAGTGAGGTTTGCCTTGGCACTGAGCTCTGTGCTGGCACCCCAGCATCTCTGGCTTTGCCAGGTTTGGGGAGGACTGAGAGAAACCCCAAGGGAGCCCTGGGAGGGCAGGGGTGAGCTGGGGCATTTAGGGAGCAGAGCCAGAGGTGAGCTGGGGTATTTGGGGAGCAGAGCCAGAGGTGAGCTGGGGTATTTGGGGAGCAGAGCCAGAAGTGAGCTGGGACATTTAGGGAGCAGAGAGAAGAGCTGGTGTGCTTTGGGAGCAGAGCCAGAGGTGAGCTGGGGTATTTGGGGAGCAGAGCCAGAGGTGAGCTGGGGTGTGGCGGTATTTGAGGTTCCCCAGGACAAGGGAAGAGAATCTTGACTCCATGTTTCAGAAGGCTGATTTATTATATTATGGTGTGTATTATATTAAAAGAAAATGATATAGTAAAACTACACTAAAGAAATAGAAAGGAGACATCAGAAGCCTAGAAAGAAATGAATAATAAAATCTCATGACAGACTTGGCTAGTCCGACACAGCTGGCTGTGATTGGCCATTAGTTAAAAACAATTCACATGCTGGGTAAACAATTCTCCAAATCACATTCCAAAGCAGCAAAACATGGAGAAGCTGAAGCTTCCCAGCTTCTCAGGAGAAAAATCCTGGCAAAGTGATTTTTCAGAAAATATGTCAGTGACACTGGAGCATTTAGGGAGCAGAGCCAGGGAAGAGCTGGCATGTTCTGGGAGCAGATCTAGTGGAAAGCAGAGCCAGGGAAGAGCTGGCGTGTTTTGGGAGCAGAGCCACAGGTGAGCAGAGCTAGGGAAGAGCCTGGTGTGTTTTGGGAGCAGATCCAGAGGTGAGCTGGGGCACTTAGAGAGCAGAGCCAGGGAAGTGCTGGCGTGTTTTGGGAGCAGATCCAGAGCAGGCCAGGCGTGCTGAGGGGGCAGAGCCCAGCGCAGGGGTGGCCATGGGGAGGAGCAGGGAGCTGGAGCCCCTTCCCTCCTGTAGCAGCTGTCTGTGCAGAGGCTCTCAGAGCAGAGGACAGGACTGGAGGAGGCCGTGCCCGCCCGGCCCTGCAGGTAAGGGGCTGTGGGGGGCTGTGGGGATGGAAAAGGGGAACGCTGAGCTCCCGGTGCATGCTGCTTCCCTGGGCTGCCCCTCACCACACCCTCTGTGTCCCAGGGCCCTGGGGAGCTGGGGGCATTGCCCTGGTGCTTAGGCATGGAGAGCAGAAGGTTCTGGGAGCTGTGCAGGCCTCCTTCCCTGCCCCGCCGTGCCGTGCTGCCCCCACAGCCCCTGTTTTCCTTGCAGGCCAAGAAGTACGCGATGGAGCAGAGCATCAAGAGCGTGCTGGTGAAACAAACCATCGCCCACCAGCAGCAGCAGCTCACCAACCTCCAGGTGAGAGCCCCCTGCGAGCCGCTCCCCGTGCCTCGTGCTCCCCCCGACACGGTGGAGTTCTCAGGGCCCTCGGAACCAGAGCACAGCCCTGAGCCTGCAGCTCCCCCAGGCACCCCGACTAACCTCACAAATTGCCCGCAGATCTCTCTTGTTCCCAGAGGAAATGGTTAAAAGTTCCTGTCCTGTTGGACGTCCCTTCTTGAGATACGAGAAGCCAAAGACTTTGCTGTGGGCTTTGCTTCTGAGCCATGTTTGAGGTGGTGAAGGGAGAAGAGAGCCTGGGAACGGTGTCCTATCACCATCTCCTCTGCCTGAGGGAGGGTCCCTGTGTCCCAGTGCTGCCCCATTTCCCTCCCCTGCACCCGGGTGCTCTCAATTCTGGAGAAGTTCTCTTGGCTGTTCCTGCTTGCACTGGAATGCCCATACTGGGAGAGCCCTTAACTGGGGTTTGACCTCCCCTCCTTCAGAGGTTTCTGGAACATTTCTCAGCGCCTTTCCTCAAAGTCAGGAAGCCCAAAACGAGGGCTTCGCCTGAGGAACCCCTGCGGATGTGCTCTCCCTGCCCGGCAGCCGAGGCCGTTTGGGGCTGTGCCTGGTTCTGAGGGTCTGCTCTAGTTGAGGGGCTCCTTTTAAATGCTGGGGGTGAACCAAGGACAGTGGTTGCAGAGGTTGCTATTGCCTTGAGTCCCCCCTGGGATCCCACCCTGCTTCCCGAGGCAGCGGCAGCAGCACAAGCCCACCCTGGCCTGGTGGGACCGGGCTCAGCAGGGTCCTGGCGCCGGACGCTCCTGGGGACCAGGCAGTGAGGGCCGAGGAAGGAGAGGCCTCTCGCAGGTGCCCCTGCGCCGCCGCTCTGCTTGAGTTTGTACAAACAGCCGTAGTATGCTCAGCTCCAACAGACTGAACTCTGTCTTTACTGTCTTTCAGATGGCAGCAGTGACAATGGGCTTTGGAGATCCTCTCTCACCTTTACAATCGGTCAATAGACATATTCACTTCTTCTGGGGCACTTGTCTTAGTCAGGGCCTAGCGTGGGGACGTTCGTAGTGGTGCCAATGCTCTTGTCCGCGCCCAGCGCAGCCCTCCCACATCCCCACGTGTACTGGACACGCCCAGGAGCAGAGCGAGGTGTCACTGCCCCGAGAAGACCCCAGGCTGTGCAGTCTGCGGGGACACTGCCACTCGGGGGCACAGACAGCTTTAGATTTCCACCAGTTCTGAACACACCCGTGAAATTGTGGGAGCTGCATTTCTAGGGATGCTACAGTTCTGAGGTCCCGACCTAAAACTAACGGCCAAGGTAACTCACCAAGGGGCGACTTGTTGTGGAACGACCTCCCAGCAGCCAGAGCCGGCCGCTGCTGGGGAGGGCCGGGGTGCCGGAGGTTGGCAGAGCATGGTGCAGCCCAGGCTCAGACTCTCTTTACTGTGCACGCTCCAGACCAGGGCAGTATGGCACGTTCCGAGTGCAGCCAAAGCAGGATGGGAGGGACAGAACTGCAGGGCTGATCACAGAGCTCCTGTGAGCCTTTGTGCCCCTTCTAATCAGAGGCCACAAAGAGCTGAATGACCTGGCATGAGCCATCCCCTCCTTTTTCTGGGCAGAGTGTCCTGTGACTCCTCTGTGCACCAAAGGTTCATTTGTAAATTCATTTGCACATTTGTAAATACCTCTCAGGCTTGCTGGACTATGAGATTTGTGCCTGGTGTAAAACACAGGTGGAGGTTTGAACTCCAAGGAAAAGGGCACTGAGGTGAAATGCCCAGTCTCCCTCCCTTGGCAGTGAGTGGTGTGTCAGTGGGCAGCCAGAGTGGCTGTTCTGGGGCAGGGTAAGTTTGGAGTGGAGCAGAGCAGCCTTCTTGGTGTGGATTTGGCAGAGATGGTGTCAGAGCCCTCATGCCCAGGAACTCCCCCCATCCCTGGAGCTGCTGCCTGGCAGTGGAACTGCAGCAATTTGGCCTAGATTGTTTCTGGCTCATTCTCCCAGCTGGGCACAGCTGAGTTGGTGGCACAGGAAAGTTTTAATGGCTTGTGACCCCTTTTCCTCAGCCATTCCTCCCTGGGCAGTGACAGGTGGACACAGCCCAGGAGCAGGAGCAGGTACAGTTCAGAGCAGTCAGGATATCCCATTCTTGGCAGGTGCTTCATGCCAGAGCCCACTCAGGATGCACAAAGTGCAAACAGGCCCCTGTCCAGCACTTGTCCTGTTGCCAGGGTTCCCCAGTTCCTTTGTGGAGGCAGCACAGCCTGAACTGAACTCCCTGAGCTCTGGGTCTCAGAGCCTGAGTGACAGCTTCCCCTGGGCTCAGTCCTCAGTGTCACAGTGTGAGATTCCCACGTCCCTTCACCATCCCCTGTGTCATGGCTGGTACTCGTGGTGAGAGCTGTGCATCACCTGCTTTGGTTACAAGAGCACCCCAAGGTGGGGTTTTGGCCTGTCCTTGAAATAGCCTCCAATCCCTTTAGAGCAGCATTGCACAGCTGCAGGTGGGGGCTGCTGCCTGGCTGAGGCTTCAGGTGCTTTTCCATGTGACAGGAGGAGAAGGAGGCACAGGGAGCAGTGAGATCAGCCTGGGGCTGCTGAGAGCACTGAGAGGTCCAGGCAGGAGGCCCTGACACCGACCTGTGCAGAGCTCAGGGGCCCAGGGCACGTCCCCCAGCCAGATGCTCCTGTTGGTGACCCACAGTCACAGAGTCAGCACAGCCCATCTCAGCTCTGCCTTCTGCAAGCCCAAAATCCCAGGGTTATTGGGGCTGGAAACAACCTCCAAGGTCATCGAGTGCAAGCTGTGCCTGATCCCCACCCTGTCACCAGCCCAGGTGTTCCCAGGACACCTCCAGGGATGGGGACTCCACACCTCCCTGGGCAGCCTCTTCCAGTGCCTGGCCACCCTTTGCAGGAAGGATTTCTGCTGTCTGAAAATCCCGAGTCCTCCTCACTCCCCCAGCTCTCCTTTAGAGTCCTGTGGCAGGGCAAGGTGGGCATTTCCTCCTGCAGAGGCTCCTTGAGAGAGGCACCTCCCTGGGACACCCAGGGTGACACTGCTGGTGGCTCTGAGCCCCTCAGCAGATGAGCTGCACACTGAGGGGCTTTCCAAAGCTGGGAATGTGCTGGAGCACCTGGCAGAGCAGCCAGCCTCTGTGTGCTGCATGTGCACGTGCCATAGTCCTGCTGGTCACAGCCTGCAGAGTAAAGAGAGCCGTGGCCCAGCCGTGCTGGGAAATCCTTAGCCAGGCAGGGGGCAACTGGATGTCACCCCAGGAGCAGCAGCTGGGGCTGGATGTCAC